TAAGTGGCTCTGCTGTGCACCTGCAGCGGTGACCCCGGCTCCTCGTCCCCTTCTGCCCACTGAGGCCTCAAGACAGACCGGGGCTGTCTGAGGTTGGCGTGTCAGCGGTATGCAGACAGAGGTAGCCCAGGGAGCCCCGAGGCTGTGGCGTGCCGCACAGAGGGGGACCCGCACACCGGGCGCCATGCCCCACGGGACAGCAGGGACAGGACCTTCCTGCTGGGCTCCCGTGCTGACGGATGGAGGAGACCAGGTCCCTGACGGCCTGGCCGGCTGAGTGCTGGTGCGAAAGCAGCTGCTCCAGGTGGAGGGCGGCCCGACCTCCCGCTGACCGTTCTGGGTGGTGGCAGCCGGCAGCCCGGGAGGTTTCGGCTGTGGCTGTGGCAGGGTGGAGGCCTGGTCTCGCGCTGCCCCCGGGAGTCCGGGAGGGGAAGGGAGGTGAGGGGATGGGACTGCCCGTCTCTCCTCAGCCCTGCCCAACTGGCCCAGAAATTAGGGCCTTTCTGTAAGGTTGTGGGGAGAGGGAGAGGACAGCTGCCGTCGGCTGGTGGGGGTGAGAAGTGCCCCTGCTGTTCTCACGCCCCCCCCCCAACGCCCCCCCCCCCAGCACTGGGCTCTGCTGTGATCTCCATGCTGCCGTGAGACCTGAGCCATCCCTGGTGTCACACACGGGATGGTTTGTGTTGGGTGAGTGTTGGCCACGACATCTCTAGTGGCTGGTGGCAGGTGCTGGCAGGTGTGACCACCTGCACTGCGGTGGGATGACAGAGGAGGGGGCACCCATCTAGGCGGGCTCAGGAGGGACCTTGGGGAGCCACAAGAGCATCCAGGCTTGGGGGGCACTGCTCCACAGGCGGGGGGAGGGCCCCCTTCCCCTACGATTTTGGGAGGCCTGCCACACCCTAAGGACTAGGCATGGGCCCTGGAGACGGGAACAGAAGTCTCTTGGCGAGGGTGTGGGACATCACAACCCCGGAAAGTTCCTGGAGGCCGTGAGGCCAGGGAAAGCTGCTCACGTAGGTGTTAGGATGGTGGTGGGGGCGGGGAGGGGGCTGATGAGGAGGGTGCATCTCGTTTTCATATTTTTATTTGGAATAATGTCAAATGTACAGAAGAGTTCAAGAACAAGTACATAGAATACCTTCTACCTGGATTTCCTTATTCTTAACATTTTGCCCCATTTTCTTGATTATGTGCTTGCTGTGTTTGTGCATGTGTGCATGTATATGTAAGTTTGTGTTGTATATGTGTGTGCATGTATAGGTGTGCATGTGTGTTGTAGGTGCATGAAAGGGTGTGTGCACGTGTGTAGTGAATATGAGTGTGTGCAGACGTGCATGCAGATGCAGGTGTGCGTGTGTGCAGGTAGGGGGTCGTGTGTGTGAGAGTGTATGTATATAGGTGTGTGTGTTCAGGTGTGACTATGTATGTATACAGGTGTGTGTGCATGTGTGCAGGTAGGAGGTCATGTGTGAGGGTGTATGTATATAGGTGTGTGTGTGCAGGTGTGAATATGTGTGTGTGCATATGTGTGTAGTTGTGAGCGTGAGTGTGCAGGTGTGTCCACAGGGTGGTGTGACTATGCAGGTGTGTATGTGTGTGGGTCGGGGGTCATGTGTGAAGGTGTAAGCATGTCTGTATATAGGTGTGTGCAGGCAGGTGTGTGTGCGGGTGTGAATATGTATACAGGTGTGTGCGTGTTTTGTACACCATCTGAGGTCTGCAGTGGGTCTCTCACCCACATACTCCAGCATGGTGTCGGCCGCGGTGTAACACTCAGCATGGTGACACTCACGCAGGCTCTTCCGTGAGTGTCAGAGGGCGATGATCCTCTCACCTCAGCACCGTCTGACTCCAGTTTGGTTATTAACACAGCGGGGTCCTTTGCAGCATTTCGGGGAGGGGCGGGGGGACGCTTTTGGTCCAGCCTCTTTCCCTGTGTCACAGGCCACCAACCTCCCTGTGTGTCTGGGAGATGACCCACCCCCACACTCCTTCCTGCGGGCCTAACGGGTCCATTGGGGTCCACTCCACACGCTGCAGTGTCCCTGGGTGGCTGGAACCCGGTGGCCTCCTCTGCACACGCGGGAGGTCGAGCAGAGCTGGTGATTGCTGTCCCAGGGCCAGTGCACTGAGTGTGTCTCTGTGGCCGGGGAATCCCTGCACGGTAGACGTCCCCAAGTGGGTTTAGCCTGGGTGCCAGCACCGAGACGGAGGGATGCCAGGGCCGGGCCAGCTGGGTGGTGACGCCCAGAGCAGACCCCTTGCTCCTGTCCTAGGCACTTAAAAGTTTGCCGCTTCCCTGGGCAGCCAGCAGCACCACAGGGCCCCTAGCTCACTGTGACTCCCACCACCAGCTGGTGGGAGTGATCGTCTGAGTGATGTCCTGAGTGACAGGTGTCATCCGTACCAGTGTTGGTGATGCGGTGTGGCCGCAATGGCTGCTCCCTGCCCTGAGCCCGGGTGTGTTGCACACGAAGGTTCTGATGTGGCCCCAGGTGGGATGAGGTCCTGGCTTCATGCCTGGGCCCTGAGACAATGCCCCCAAGGCCAGAGTGACGGGTGCCCGTGGCTCATCCCTTTCTGTTGGCCGAATGGCACCCTCTGTCCTTCTCCCCTGTCCCCTGGGTTGGTGTCTGAGTTTCCTTCCTGCCCAGTGTACTGCTGGCGCAGGCGCCTGCATCCCGTCACCAGGAGGAATTGATCTGTTCCTTTCCACGCCTGCCCCCCACCCTAAAGTCCCAGGAAACTGGAACTCAGCCCTTGGGGTTCTGGTCACTGGCTGCCTTCAAGGGAACAGAGCTTGGTGATACGATCCCTTGCCACTGAGGGCCACGGGGCCAGCTGGGGGATTCCCCCCCTCCCTGGGATCAGAGATATGTTCAGAGGGAGAGCAGGCTATGGCCTGCTGCTACAGGGACTCTGAGGAGGAAGGAGTGGCAGTGTGGATGTGTGCTTGGCCGGAAGGTCTTCCCAGAGAAGGCCCAGATGCAGGAGGGGCCAGGGTTGTGAACTGCCCAGGGCCCTGCGGGAGGGCGTGGCCTGTGGTCTCCCCAGCAAGCACAGGTAGGGGAGCCTGTGGGGCAGGAGCAGCCAGGAGGGGGACCTGGGCACCCAGAGAACGGGCATGGAAGGTGGGCCTGGATCTGGGGTTCGGTGGCAAGGGGATGTTTGGGTGCAGGGCGGGGAGCAGCAGGCACCGAGGCACCTGCGTCTAGAGGTGGCCAGGCATCAGCAAGGGCACGGGGTTGTGGCCTGAGAGGGACGTGGTCAGGGCTGTGGGCAAGGAGGTCAAGGCCTGGGGCTGTGCCCGCGCTGCTGGTGGGGTGCTGGTCCTTCCCTGAGCTGTGGCTCTGCCCTGAGCAGGCCCATGCCTGTCCCCACCTCTGAGAGCCAGGGGTGGGCACACAGCCTTCTGGAGAGACTTCCTGGTGCTCGGAGTCCCAGCTGTATAGGGGCGAGGTGCTGTGGGGCGGGAGTAAGTGGGGGAGCTGCCCAGAAGACAGGGGTGGTCCTCTGTGGGTGCCTGGACTCGGGGCCATGGGGACAGTGAAGCTTGGGGCTGGTCAGCTCTAGTCGGGGTACCTGGGGGTCTGGGGACCCAGGTGGGGATGTCACAGGTCTGGCTCTGCTCTTGCCTGTGTCCACAGGCCACAGAGGGGTGCCACCTGGTGGGTGCCAGGTTGCTGTGGGGGGAGTGGGAAGGCCCTGACTGGTCTGGAGGACAGAACCTACTTGGGGAGAAAGGCAGACGTTGATCAGCCTGGGATGATGGCATGGGTCCTGGTCTGCCTCTCCTGGCCAGGCCCCAGCCCTGGTGGCCGGTGAAGGGCCCTGGGTTGCGGAGGAATAAAGCAATGGCCAAAGGAGATCCCGTGCCTTAGGGACACTGGGGTTTTGATGCCTGTCCTTGGGCGGCCGGGGAATCCTCTGGGAGACAAACATGAGGCTGAGGCCTGCAGGGCGATTTGGGGAGGAGGAAGGTGTGCAGAAGAGCCTTTCCGGTAGAGCCCGGGCAGGAGAGCACAGGGCCGCTGGGAGTCCAGGGCCCCAGAGGGTTGTGGTTCTTCCCTAGCCTCCAGCTGCCCCGTGTTCTGGGTGTGCATGCACACACACACACACACCCTCACATGTGTATAAACGCACAAACATACATGGTGTGCACATACGCACAGGCATATGTGAGCACACACGCACGTATAAATACCTAATATGCACACACATGTAACCACACACATGCCAACATACACAAACACATGCACATTCACACGCCCACGCCCGCACACCCAGCACACACGCACATGCACACAGGCCCTGGTAACACAGGGCCTGTTATAAAGATGACAATGGTCCAAGACACAACAAGGGGTCCCTGAGGGAACCCTGCCCTCCCCTCCGTCTGGGTGCCGGGTTCTCTGCACGTGAGCAAAGTGGGACTGGGCTGGAAACAGGCCTTTCTGTGGGCCCATGGGCCACCATCTCCAGGCTTCAGGCGGGTGGGCTCTGAGAAGCCAGGAAGCAAAGCCTGCGTGCCCAGGGGCCCTGCACTCTCTGGGTGCAGAGTGGTTGGGGAGGTGCGGTTTGGATGCCAAGACAGGGGCTTTGCTGACATTTTGGAGGACGGTGAGGAAAGGACACTGGAGATTACTCAACGGTTGGCTGAATGTGGGGCTGCCTGGGCACTGACGGCTGGGGGCGTCTGTGGCATGAGGAGACCTGTGCTGTGGGCCCGAGGACCCAGGCGTCACACACCCAGCTGTCAGCAAGAGCCCCACACGTCACCACTCAACTCCCATCTCCACCTTGTCACTGCCTTTCCTGTGTCCTCAGCTTGCGGTCCCCCTTCCAGAAGCACATGGGCTTTCGGGCTTTCTTTCTTTCTTTTTAATTTTTAAAAAACATTTATTCATTTTTGAAGGAGAGAGAGAGTGCAAGTGGGGGAGGGGCAGAGAGAGAGGGAGACACAGAATCCAAAGCAGGCGCCAGGCTCCGAGCTGTCAGCACAGAGCCTGGCTTTCGGGCTTTCTGAGGGACTGCCCAGCGGCACAGCCGTGTTGTTCTGCATCGTCTTCGTTGTGCTCACCCACCCCCACTGCTTCAAGGACCTAAAACCAGGACCAGCCAGAGGGGCTTCTAGTGGCCCCACACCGTGAGGTTGATGATGATCATGGTGATGGTGTTGGTGACAGTGGAGATGATGATGGTGGTGGTGGTGGTGGTGGTGGTGGTGGTGGTGGTGGTGGTGGTGATGATGATGGTGGTGGTGGTGGTGGTGGTGATACGGTGATGGTGATGACGATGATGATGGTGGTGGTGATGGTGGCGATGGCGATGGTGATGATGATGGTGATGGTGGTGGTGGTGGTGATACGGTGATAGTGATGACGATGATGATGGTGGTGGTGATGGTGATGGTGGCGATGGTGGTGGTGGTGATAACTGCTTACAGTTACGAGTGACCGTGCCTGGGCTCACTCTCCAGCACAGAGGAGGAAAGACTACTCGTGTGTGATGGCCGTGGGGCCTACCTTCCTGTCTCCTGTCATCAAGAACCTCCTCTGTGTCCTGGACTCCGTTCCAGCTGGGTTCCTGGGGGGTGGGGGTGCAGGGACCCATGTTACCCCCTGCCCAGAAGGGTCCCCTGTTCTGCAGTCTTGCCCAGACCTTGGAAGCACCTGTGGCCTGGTCCCTGTGAGGGGCTTGAAATACGTGTTGAATCAATGAAGGGCATCCAGGTGTCCAGGGGCCTCACCTCATGTGAGCCTGCGTGTCCCTCCCCCAGTTGGAGGTGCCGTGGCAGAGGGCAGTCTCCCAGCAGGGAGGGGGCTGCCTCTGCTGCCACACTCACGCAGGTGGCCTTTGGGGCTGGCTTCCACGGTGCATGCAGTGCCCGGGGCCCCTCTGGGGCCCGTCCAAGTTCAGAAGCCTGCAAGATGCCCTCATGTCGTGAGCAGCGGCACTTGCAGGCCTCCAGGGTGGCCGCACGGAGGGTCCCGTGCTGTCTGGCTGCACGGAGTCTACCTGAGCGTGGTGTGTGGAGCAGCCCTGACAGGCGTGCTGTGGAGGGACGGCCGTGCGCTTCCTGAGACATGACGGGGCATCTTGGTGATCTGTCCCGGCAGGGTGCAGGTTTTGCCCGCAGGCCTGGACTTCCCCGGAGCCACTCACAGGTGTGGCCCCAGCTTGGGGGGCGGGGGGTCTCAGTACAAGCGGCCAGAGTGGTCACACCCCAGGACAGCTCCGGCGCCTACACTCGTATGGAGGCCAGGCCTGAATGAGGAGTTCCCCACTGGGTGGCGACTCCGAGGTGAAGCCCAGCCTGGAGGCGCCAGTGGGGAAGGGAGAGGACTTGCAGGGTCCCAGAAGTACCTCAGGGCCACCGGAAAGGACCGCGGCCGAGCATCTGAGGTGGGTTCAGCACCCCCACCCCCCGTGCAGACAGAGCCTTGTTATCTGAAGGGGCCTTTCCCATCTCGTTTAGTTCCGCAGCCCTGGCCTGGGGGAGGGAGCTGGCTGCCCCCCGCTTTCAGCAGGCCCCGCTCCCGCAGAGCGTCTGTAGGAATGGCTCGGAGAGGGGCCTCTTCTTGAGTCATTCCTGCCTTCCTGCTGCAGGCCCCTGGGTGCTGAGCGCCTGGGGCGGGAGCCCAGCAGGCAGAGGAAGGGTGTAGGCCCGGGAGGTGCCTGTCTCGGCAGCTGCCAGAGGGAGGGAGCCAGGGAGGTGTGTGCAAGCGCCTGTGCGGTGAAGCAGCCTCACCATCCTATTTCCAGACTCTGCGTTCTCCCCAGACATCGCCACCCTGCACCCTACCCCACCTGGCTGCTGGGAGCCCCCCCCACAGGGGAGGCGGGACTGCCGAGGTCTGCCGTTCTGTGGGCGCATCCGCCACCGTGTCCAGGCTTACAGGCTGGACCACGAGGTGGCCCAGAGAGCCCAGCTCCCAATCTCCACACCAGCCAGGGGCCTGGCCTTGGGGGGCCTCCCTCCGAGGCGAGGCCGGGTGCTGTGAAGTCCAGAGGGGACGTGTGGGTGGCTTTGGGAGGAGGCTCTGGGTGGGCACGGCCAGTCTTGGCAGTTTATTAGGTTTCATTCAGAGCAGAGAAGAATCCTCTCTGCAGGGCTAGATTCTTGGCAGGCCAAATGGGGGTCCCTTGCCTTCTGCCCATGTTCTCATGGCCCCACGCTTGAGGTGGCCCCATGCTGTAGAGCCCTGGGCTGGACCCCAATTTGGTGCCTAGCTTGCTCTTGAGGTGCTCCTCCAAGCTTGCTGCGCCCTAGGTGTCCCCTAGGGTGACTCCCTGGCTCCTCTGCAGGGGGTATCCTGCAGGCCGGGCCCTGACCAGGAGCTTGGGGGCATTGAGCATTGGTCAGGGAGGCCAGCTCCCCCCGGGAGTGGGACCAGTGATCTGTGTGCAGGTATATGTGAGCGTGCACATGCGCCAGTGTGCGAGCCCCTGTGGGAGGAGGAGGGAGGCTGAGCACGGGTGTGCAGTGTCAAGCTGGATGCAGAGTGTGGGGCTCTGGCTGCAGTGCAGCAGCTGGCCAGCCCTGGCAGAGCCTGCTCATTGGGGACCCTGAGACCCCCGCAGAACTCGGACCCACCCAGGGACTGGGGTGCAGGTGCTCTGTGACTTTCATGCCCCCTGTGCAGGAAGGTTCTAGAAGGACAGGCTCCCAACAGAGATTGACCCCCAGCAGAGACTGACCAGCCCAGGGGAAAGGGTTTCCCCCCTACCCCATCTTGTAACTGCTCAGAGGCCCACTCCAGTCGGGAGCCAAGTCCCCAGGAAGAGAGGGGGGAGCATGGAGCCCAGCCTCATCTTTGGACCAGAGACCCAGGGAGGCAGAGGCCACTTTCTCTGGGAAGGAGAGTCCACTTTGCCTGCAGGAGCAACCGCAAGAGAAAGTTCAGCCTGGACAAGGGCCGCATTCCTTCCATGCCCAGCAGGGACACCCAGGCCTTCAGGGCTGTCCCTTCAGTGCTGTCCTGGAGTGACCCTGGGTCCCCCTTGAGACCAGAAGTGCCCTTGGGGGTGCTACCTGCACCCCCTTCACAGAGAGGAAGGAGAAGGGGCCACCGAGCCCAAGATCAGTGCTGTGGGGTCAGCTCTGTGGTGCCGTGGTCAGGCCGAGGCTTGCTGGGGCCACCTTGGCACTTCCCTGTCCTTCAGGGGGACAGGAGACTAGACTCTGTCCTTGGCCTCCACAGTGACCCTGATTTGGGTGGGGTGGGTCGATGGGGTCCCCTGGCTGCTTCTTGGGCCTGAAAGTGTGCAGGTCAGGGACAGGGCTGGGTGTGCACGCTGAGAAAAGCTGGGAGGCAGGCTTCCTGCCCTGCGGTTGCAGGAGGGGGGGGGGGGGGGGGGGCTGAAGAGCCATTCCCTGAAACCTAAATGGGTTCCTTTTGTGCGGGTTTTCGGCTCCCTGACTAAGGAAAATTTGGGGAGACCAAGGCCCCTCGCCCTGGCTTTAAGACAGAAGCCGGCACAGCTGCAAAGCCAGGGCTGGGGATTTGCGGAGGTGGATTTGCGCAGGACCTGCGCCCCCTACGGACCGGGGCTGGGGTCTGTCTGCCCCAGGGCAGAGGCAGCTGAGTGACCTAAGGTGCTGGCGGGGATGGGGGGAGCCTGGCGGGTGAAGGGAGCAGAAGCCCACACAGAGCCCTTGCCAGGGCACCAGCAGGTGGCGCTGGCTCCTGAGGACAGGAAAAAAAAATGCCTGCAGCAAACCTGAGTGGGTGTCACTGCGGCTGCAGATGGTGGGGGAGGGACTTGCCATCTTCCCCCTTGGCTGCGGAGCCTCACGTGCCTGAGCCCCGCATAGTCCAGAGCGAGGTCTGGGGAAGGATGCGGTCGGTGCAGACACGGGCCCTGTTTTGGACCCTGGACGCGGGTGAAGACTTGTCCTCTCCCTCCGCCTTCCCTTTTTGAGTCTCTTCCTGGAGGCTGGGAGGCAGCTCCCCGCTTGGTGAGGGCCACCCCCACCTCGTCGCTGAGTGGACCGAGGAAGGACAGACTTTGCAGTGACCTCAGACCCTACCCCACCCCCTCCCTCGTTGTCATGGCAACTGCCCGGAGGGCCCGCGGTTGGGGCGAGTGGCCTTCGGGACGCAGTTGGCTCCGCGCCCGTGGCGACCCTGTCCCGCGGGGCCGGCCCACCGCCAGCACCGCGGACAGCGCCCCGGCCCTCCGGCGCGGCGGCCCGAGCTCCCCAAACCGAGTGCCCTCACCCCCGACAGTCGGCTCCTGGCACGCGGCGCGCCGGCCCCCCCCCCCCCCCCCCCCCCCCGCTCCGCCGCTCCCTGCGGACCCTCCCTCTTTGTCTCCCGGCCTCGGCTCTTCCTCGGACACCCCGCCATGCCCTGCCGCCCGCTAAGGACGCACGTGGCCGAGGGACGAGGCCGGGTGGCTGCAGTTTCGTCCCGACCGCAGGCTTCCCTGCGGTCACCCCCACCCGCCCTGCGCCGCCCGAGGCGAGCGGGCCCCTTTGTGTCCCGCGGCCTGGTCCCCGGCCCGGCAGCTGGGCCGCCCTCTGGGCGGGCGCATTGTTTGCCGGATTTGTCCGCGGCGCGAGGGGCCGCCGGGGGCCGGGCTCGCCTTCCTCCCGCGGGAGGGGCGCCGCGCCGGCCGGGCCAGCGGGCCATTTCCATGAGAAAGGAGCGGCGGAGGCGCCTCTCTTGGCATTCACCGCGTGCCTTAATTGTATAGACATTAAATCAAGGTCCGCTGTGAACACGCAGAGGGGCCCTCAGGCTGCGGCGGGCGGCCAGGCCGGGGTCGGGGCCGCGGCTCCGGCTCGCGTGGGGTCCTCGCCCCAAGGCCGCAAATGCTCCGGCGGCTTCGCAGCGGGGCGGGCGGGGCGGGGGCGCTGCGCCACGCCGACGGGGCTTCCTCGGACTCCAGCCCGGATCCGCCCCCAACTCTGAGGAGCCCACTCCTGTCTCCCTTCCGCAGCAGGGAGGGGGCCCCCAGCAAGCCCCCTGGGGCGTCCCCGAAGCCTGGAGCCCCACGGAATCTCCGCGAGGAGGCGCAGGAGCCGCGGTGGGAGCCGGCGTGTGCGCGCCCGGCCGCCTCCCGCGGGCCGCGGAGAGGCGCAGCGCCCGCTCCGGCCGGGCAGCGCCGGACGCCCTGCAGCTGCTCTCCGCCGCGGTGCCCCCTCCCCGGCCCGGCCCGGCCCGGGGCCGCGCCACGGGTGTCGTTCAAAGAAAGAATCTCGATGCCCGGAGATGAACACCAGTGTCTTTTTCAACCCAGCGAACTCGTCCTCCCCGCGCGCCGGCGCAGGGGAGAGGGCGCTCGAGCCGTTGGTGGGGAGACGGGAGACCCGGAGAGGTCGCTCGCCAGGCTCGCCCCGGGCGCCCCAAGCGCAGTTACCCGTCCCGGGCGGGAGCCGCCGCCGCCGCCGCCTGCCGCTCCTCGGCCGCCGCCGCCTCCTCTCCCAGCGCCGCCCGTTCCCGCCTCCTCCGCGGCGCCCGCCGGCCCCGCACGCCGCCGCCCCGGGCGCAGGAGGGCGTGTGGACGCCGCGCGGAGAGCCGGCAAGTCCGCGAGCGCCGCGGGCCCGCTGGGAGCCGAGCGTCCGCGCGGTCAGCGCTCTGGGCGCCCGGCTCCCGCTCGCCCCGGCGGCCCCGGCGCCGCTACCCCTGCGCCCGCCGCCGCCGCAGTTCCTCCGCGCGTATCCGCGCTCGGCTCGGGCACCGGGCGATTATACTGGGGCGCGCGGTGACGTCACCCGGACACCGGCTCCGCCGCCGCCTCCCCGAGGTGTCCTTGAGAACTGCGGGGCACGCGCGCCGCGCACACGCGCACACACGCACTGCGCGCCCGGTGCCTCCCGCGCACACTCACCGCGTCCCGCCCCGCGCGCTCCTCCGCTCACACGGACGCCGCCCTCGAGTGCCCTCGACCGTGCCCGGCACCCTGCGGCCGCACGTCTGCCCACGGAAACGCCTCCCCCACCGCCCGCACTCGACGCTCCTCCCACAGCCCACCGTCCGCAGCGCCTCTGGGCGCGCACGGACACCCGCCGAGAGCCGGGCCTCCCCAGCCCGCACCCTCGCCCACACCCTCGCCGCACCGGAGGCACGCCCCTGCCCTCAGGCTTTAGCTGCAGGTTAGAGCCTCCTGTCCGGGTCCCCGTGACACACTCCCCCCACCCTCCTCCGCTCACAAACCTTCGTTCCCCACCGGCCCCTCCAGCCTCCACAGGAAGGGAAGGGGTTTGCAGAGAGAGCCCAGGGTGCAGGGTGTTTGTGTAGAGGGAGACAGCGACTCCTCCCCCCATCAAAGACGGCTCCCCTTTCTCACTGTGTCCTGAGTGGGATGGGGAGATTTAGACCCCAGGCAACACCGGGCGGCCTCACCGCTGAGCCAGCGCCCTGGGCTTGGAGCCCTTCTGAGGACTGTCCCCGATCTGCTGCTCTAGGGCCAAGGATCCAGGCTTTCCTAAGCGACACCACCTCAGGCGTCCCCTGTGGGCCTTTGTTCCTGAGCAGACGGCGAGGGAGCAGCAGGCCCAGGCCTGGCCAGCAGGCCTCTGCCCCCTTCTTCCCCCAGGCCACCGGGCCTGTGCCCTCTGCCCTCAGAGCAGAGCCCACTGACCCTCCCACCTTGGGTTCACTGTCCTGCTTCCTTCCTTTCAGGCCCTCTCTGGCTCTGAGGGAGCTACGGAGAGCCCACGGGGAAGGGGGTCGGGACCCCCAGCCCCCATCCCTTCCTCAGCCCCCCGGGGCTCCCTTCGGCCTTTGGAGCCGCTTCAGCCTGACCCTTGGAGCCGCAGTTCCTTGTCCTCTGTGGGGTCAAGATGGCCCTTCTCTCTAGCCTGAGACATGCAACATCCCCCCGGCCCAACATACTCACCTACCCCCACCCAATGTTCAGGAAGGCCCCGGAAGCCTGTGGGGCTCGCAGCCAGAGCCGACCCAAGCTGGTGGGGTGGAGGGCAGGGGACACTGGGCAGCTGGCACTTTAAACTCCGTCAGATTCTGTGTTGCTCTCGGCCTCTGTCAGCCTGGTGGAGGTTGCCGGTCCTCAACTTATGTGGCCGCGTCTTCCAGCCCCAGGGGGTCCGCTGTCCATGGTGTTGAAATCGTACCCTGAACCCCATTCTGCTCCCCCGCCTTGCCCCTGGACTTGTCACCCCGTCCTCTCCCACGAAGGGTCTGGGTCCAGTCAGGGTGCAATGGCAGATGCCCACCCTCCACCCTTGGTTTCCTGGAAGGGCCCGGGCCAGCTCTGGTTTCCAGCTCCCTGAAGCTTGTTTGCATTCTAAGTCGGGGGGGGGGGGGGCGGTGCTCAGGTTTACAGAGCCCAGATCTTTCTTCAGATCCCTCTCCTACTGGGCCGTGGAAGGGTCACCACCCCTCGCAGACCCGCTCCTTCCCTGGCGGAGCCCTGCACCGCCGCCCGCCTCCCTCACCACCAGCATCTCCCCAGGCAGGGCAGATGTGTGGGTGTCTCCCTCCTTCCCCTGGATCAGACAAGCTTTGCGCAGCCTGCAGGCATCTTATTTCCTTTTGCCATTTGACATTTCGGAGTCCTGAGCACTGAGGCTGTGTGTTTCCATTCCCAGTAACCCGCGGCCCATCACCCTGGCTTTCCGGAGGGAAAGAAGGATGGCCCTGGGTGTGGGGGTGGAGCTGACCCGTGGGTGCTGGGTGGGAAAGGGAGCCGCCCCCAGCCTCCGCCCGTCCGGTGGGGACCTTCCTGGTGGGTCTGTTTCATAGGAGTCGACTTACTGCTGCCCGGCTCCTGCGCGGGCCCAGCGTCACCGGTCCCCGCACCTGCTCTCCGCCGATGCCCACGCCGCAGTCTCTCTCCGGCACACAAGATTTTGTGTTTGTGGCTTTATTTGCAAGCTCCCCAGCTTGCAGTGAAGGGCGCGGGGCGGTGCAGCCAGTCGGCTCAGGGCTCCGGGTTCCAGGCAGCCTCCTCCATGCGCACAAAGGCCCCTCTCACCACGGGCCCGGCCCGCAACTTGGAGACAGGTCAGGTGTCTTCTTGGGGGCGGGATGTGGGCCGAGACCCCCTCCCCCTTCTCTCCCCGCAGCCTTCCGCGAAAGCCTGCGAATGGCGAATGGCGTGGGATTAAACAAACCCACAGAAGCCGGTGACGAACCCCCGCCCTCGCGGCTCCTGCTGTCTCGTCACCCGCCCCCGCCCCTCCTGGGCGCAAGGCTAGTCACTCCTCCAGAAAGGGGGTGGGGCCGTGGCCACATCTGGGAACAGCTGGCTCGGGCCGCTTGACCTTTGCCCCCACTCCCAGTTCGGGAGGAGGGGGATGGGTGAGGAGAGGCAGGCGGCAGCGGCGCTGGCAGTGTGGATGAAGCCTGGTGAGGGGAGGCTGACGCTTTCAGCCTCGGGAAGGAGAGACAGTTTGCAAGGGACTCCAGGCCTGACCCCTGCTCTGGGTCCCTGTAGCCACAAAATAGTCCACAGCTTCCAGTGTTGGCTTGGGAGCCCCCCACCCACAGACCTGTCCTTGCACGACGCCCAGATCCCCTCCCAGGCACCAGGAGCCCCACACACTTCCCCCAACGGAAGGACCCAGGTCCCGTCCCGCCTGGTTCCTCCCACAGCCGGACTAAGGGTGCCAGGGGGAGGGGCCCCACCCAACCCCGCCGGGCCCCTCTGCGCGCTACTCCTGCTGGGCCTCTTCCACGCCCTCGGCTCAAAGCTCTGCCGTCTCCTCACCCGTAGGACTGGGAGGGGGTGCAGCACAACAAGACCCACCCTCAGTCCAGGCTCAGGCCCCCGCCTGGAGCCAGCCAACTGTCCCTCGGCTTAGGTCTGGATGGGGCCTGATGTGGGGGACCTGCCCTTAGAAGCTGGTGGGGGGCCGGGACCCCCACCGTGCCTGAGTTCCCCTGGGTGGGAGAGGCCACCACAAAGGCTGTGATTGTGAGCCAGGCCAGGCACACAATGGGGCAGCCGCTCAGGGGCCAGGGGCCCCGCATGGAAATGAGGCCGCCCCTTCCTGGCCGCTCCCGCCCCCTTGCTGCCTCCTCCCTGGCCGCCGGCCCCACAAGGAGAGACGGACAGACCGAGGCCCCGCAGCCCTGGGCACCTCCAGCCTGATCCGGGAGGACGGGTCCTTAGGCGACAGCTGCGGAGCCACCGGACTGCGGGCACTCGCGAGACTGCTGTGGGCTCCCAGGTACGTGCTGCACCTGGGCTGGGCTGGGCGGGGGCACTGGGGGCCGGGGCACAGGTCCCACGCCGTGGCGAGGGGAGGCTGGATGCCCGGCCAGTGGCGGGAACAGGGCTTTTGTTCCCCAGGCGCCCCAGCCGGGCCTCCCTGAGGCTCCAGGCAGCCCTGTGGCCACCCAGCTAGGACGTGGGAGCCAGGGCCAGCTGCGTCCCCACCAGCCCCTGCCCCGGACCAGCCTCCCCCTCCCCAGGGCTGGTCCTGGCTCGAGTAGCTCCCCACCGCCTCCCTGCAGCCCCCACTGGCCTCACCTAGCATCTTGGTGTCAGCGCATCGCCCCTGGGAAGGCGGGGGCGAGGGCTTGCGGCCGCTACTGGCTTCCAGAAAGCATTTGGGGGCCTGGAGCAGGTCCCCGGGGCCTGATCTCCCTGCAGTTCGTCCAGGGCCCACACAGCCCCGCTCACCAGGCCTCAGCGGTTGGCAGCCCTTGGCTGTGGGGCCCAGTCCCCACGGTGTCCTGCCCTGGCCCCCAGGCATGCGGAATGCCAGTAAGGCGCATTCCCTCTGGAACCTGGGAGCTAGAGGCAGGGACACCCTTGGACTTGGGCCTCCTACCTTAGGACGCCTGCTCCCCAGCTGGTTGTCTGTCAGCCAGGCCGGGTGAAGGACGGGTGAGGCCAAACTGGCCACAGGTTGGGGGACCCTTTGTCCCTTGGTCTGCTCTGAAGACCTGGGGTGAAGCATGCCTGTGACCCGCCCCCCGCAGTGGGGTGGCAGATGAGGAGGGACAGCTTCTCCGCGGGTGGGGAGCAGGGGCGCCTGGCCCTCGGGCAGACCCCCGCTTCCTCAGGCCCCCGTCAAGGCCCCCTCTCCCATCACAAGGCAGCCACAGCTCTGGCCTGTACTGTGCCTGCCCTGCTCTGTGCCCCCCGCCCCCGCCCCAGTGCTGCCTCCTTCTCCCTGGGATCTCAGGGCCCCAAGCGAGGTGTCCCCCCTCCCCCAGTGGCCCTGGAGCCTGAGCCCGCCCACATCTGCATCCTGGAAGGTTGGGGGTCCCGAGAAATGGCTTGGGAGCAGCAGGACCCTCTTGGCGGGGCAGACAGCACCAGGTCTGCTCATGAGAAGGGACAGGGTGGCCTCCTTTGTCCAGATCCAGGGCCCCGTGCCCATCCCTGCCCCGGCCTTTCCCGTCCGGCCGCTCTTCCCCAGGCCGATTCCGTCCCCTTCTGGTCTCTCTTGCCTGCGCTTGCTTCTCTCCCACCGCAGCTCTGTCCCCACCCCCTACCCTTCCTTGCCCCTCTCCCTGCTGCCCATCCCCCTTCCCTCTCTGACCCTGGGCCTCCCCCCGTCTCTCAGCGTCCAGCTCCCCTTCCCTCCCTCACCCGCACCTTCATCCGGCCCGGCCGGCTGTTTCTCAGGAGTGATTCCAGCAGGAAAAGCAGTGGCTTAGGGGCAGGACCGTGTTCCTGCCTCTCTTCAAGGGCGCGCACCTTCCCCCTCCCTGCACATCAAGTGTCACAGGAAGTGCCCATGCTGGGGGAAATGTCTGGGATGTTCTTGCCCCAAAGAGATACCCCGAGTGTGTTCCTGGGACCCAGGCCTGGGGAGGGGAGTGGATCTGAGGACAAGACTCCGGCCGGGGCTGAGCGGGACTGTGGGCCCCGGGAAGGTCGACCCTTATGTGTGACCAGTGCAGACTCTGGGGAGGGGCTGTGAGACCCTCCGCCAATTATGCTGGGGTCTGGGGGCTCCATGCTGCAGGCAGGGGATGGACACGGAGCCGATGCCTTGTGCCTGGCAACTCTGGGAGGGATGTGGGGCCGGTGGACGTGGGCCTGCCTGGCGGCGGGGGCTGGGCTGGGCCTGGTAGATACGTCCCGGGACCTGGGCCGGGGATCGCCCGCCTCGGGCTGGGGGCTGGGTGCACGGAGAGGGACGTGGAGCCTCTCGCCTGCGTCGCCCCGGGGCCTTCAACCCTGCGTCTGCAGCGTGTCAGGCTGCTGGCTTTCCCTGTGTCCGTCGCGGCTTCCGCTCGCGTAGGACGTGTGATGGTGACTTTCCGCTGGTGCAAGCGCGCAGCTCTCCCAAAACACAGCCCTTCAGGAGGAGAGGGGATGAGAGAGAGGAGAGCAGGACGGGGCGGGTGGGCGTCTGGGGCCCCGGGGTGGGAGGCCCTCACAGTTTCTGCACCAAAGCCTTGAGCCAAGCCCTGGGTTTCGTGTCCCAGTCTGTGACTGTTGAAACGGGAGGCCTGCCTGACGTGGGCACAGTGCAGACGGGGCGGGAGGGGCGCGGGCGGCCCCATCCTCCCCGCCCAGGCGGGCAAGGGAGGCGCCCACATTCTGCGCGCAGGGCCCCCAGGGAGTGTGCGGGGGGCCGCGTGCCCACTGGGCAGGTGCAGAGGCAACGAAAGCACAGGTCCCCGGACGTGCACTGTGGCCACTGTGACACGGTCGTCCCCGGGCCTCCGTGCGGCTCTGCTTTCGGCCGCCTCCCCGGCCCTTCTGGCTCGCCGTACCTTCCTTGGGGAAGCCTCTTAGGTACTAACTCTAACAGGCGTGTGAAGGAGCCGTGAGCACCCCCCCCCCCCCCCCCCCGGGCCCTGCGCCTCTGGCTTCCAGCTGGCCTTGGCTGTGGGAGGCAGGGCCCCTCTGGAGGCCGAGGCCCAGGGAGCGAATGTCCTCCCCTGTCCCTGCCTCTCCCCGGCCCGGCAGCCAGCAGCCGCTCCGCCCAGGCGGCCTGCTCCTCCGGGCCCTCTGCTGGGAGGGTGGCAGCCTCGACGCGCTGAGTCCCAGGACACTGTCGGTCCCTCGCCTCCCTGCCCCCGCCCACACCTTTGTAAGGTGTCCCTGTCTCTGGCCCGGCTCCTTGCCAACAAGGGCGGAGTTAATGGCAGGCTTTCGGCCCCCAAGGGCAGAGCCGGAGACCCCGACCGCCAGGTGGGTGGGGGGCAGGGTGGGACGGCGCGGGACGTGGGGGGAGTCGGAGAGGGAACGCTGAGACCCCCAGGCGTCCCGCCCACAGTAAGGACAGTGAGGCAGTGCCTGCACCCTGAGAGCCGGGCCCCCACACCCCTCTGGGGGCAGGGAGGTAGGGGAGGGGGACAGGGGAGCCTGGGCCTGAGGGTGGGGGGCCTGGCTGTGCCTGGAGGGGAACCGAGCCCCCTCCCCTTTCTGGGACTCAGTCAGCCGGCTCCTCGCGTGGAGGCTGAGCGCTGCGGGCGGACACCTGGGGGCTGGGGGTGCAGCTGGTAGGAGAGGGTCTCTCTCGGGACCCTCCCCGGGAGGGAGAGCCATCACTGTCTGTGCAAGAAGAGTCGAGGCAGCCAGAGCCCAGCGTGCCTGACGTGAGAGGAGGCCGGGAGGGGCCGCCTTCCTCGGCTGAAGAGGGGGGCAACGGACATCGCCCGAGGGTGCTGGGCCTGGGCCGGGGCGTGGTGGCCCTGTGGCCCTCCCATTGCACCCCTCCTCCGGGCCGAGTGTCTGTGTTTGGTTTAATTCCTAGCGAAGCATCAGGACCCTGCCTCGGGGCCTCTTCCCTCCTGCCCTGGCGGAGCAGGCTGGCTGTCCCGCTGTGGAGGCGGCCCCGGCACAGGCCGCTGTTCCTTGGAGATTCCAGGGTCTCCCTGGGCAGCAGTTCCCTGCAGGGCTGTGCCCGAGGGGCAGGGACTCAGGGCCCGGGAGGCAGTGACGGGAGTGTCCCCTGCCGGCAGGTCTGACCCTGACGGGGACACGGGGACACGTGCATCACGCAGGGCGGAGCGAAAGGGCCGGTGAGCAGGGCGGGTCCTCTGCAGCGACTCAGACACCTGTGGCTTCGCCTTGACGAGGGTGGAGGCCCGCCTGGTGGAGACGTGCCTTCTGGACGCTGCCGCCTTCAGTAGGTGACCTGGGACGGGCACTCTCCCTCATCTAGACGAAGAGCTGAATGGCCCCCCGGTCTGCCTCCTGCGCCCAGGCCCCATGCCGGGCACGAGCTCCTTTCCGCACCGCTGCTCGTGGGGAAGGGGCATTTGCAGGATCCTGCGTCCCTGAAAATGGGTCAAGGTGGGGAGGAGGGCTCAGGGGCGGGGCCTGCCCGACCGCCTGTCCTGGACCAGCCCCGAGGGACCCCACCCGGGCTCTCAACCATGCACCCCCGCCTCCCTCCAGGGGTGACTTGGGGCAGACACACGGGCAGAGACGGGCTGCCCGCCGAGAGGCCGGCGAGTGGGCCGAGCCGCACAGCCAGGGCGCCCAGACCCCCACCGGGGCGCGGAACCCAGAACTCTGGTCCTGGCTCATCCTGCTGCGGGCTGAGGCCGATATTAGTGAAAGTAACGGGCTCAGGCTACCGCCAGGGCCCAGGGGGTGAGGGCACCCGAAACGTGCTTTTTCTGTCACTGCAAAAATGTTTTCTTGTAAGTCGTTCTTCAAAGTGGAAGGTTCTCACAGTGCGATGGGTGAGGCTGTCGTGGGGGCTCCCGTTGGAGGTGACCTCGCTGCAAGGGGCTCCCCGGCCTCCCACCTTCCTAGGACCTTCCTGCAGGGCCCCTGCCCCTGGAGTGCGGCTGCCGCTCTCGGTGTCCGCACACAGGCTGGGCCTGGCCTCAGGGCCCCAGGGCGGGTTCCGGAAGTGGATAGACCTGGGCAAGGTGCACTTGGCCCTGCTCACCAAGGACTTCCCACCCACATGAGCC